CTCTCTCAGTCTGTCTGTCTAACTTATAATAGATGGCTTTTTTGGCTTTAGATGAGGAGAAAAGTGTCTTCTTGTTTGATCAGATATGAATTGCAGACGAGTAGATGCTTCTTAATGCTGTGTGTGATAGATTTTTTTCCCTTGACCTGTTAAGTACATCTTGCTCTGTTTCTTTCTAAGGGTGATTTCCCAGATGGGTGGTTCCTTGGAAACCTTAAATGGCCCACCTGCATTGTCCAATCACAGTTTTAACTGACACCTGAGAAACAAGGAGAGGGTGTGTGTGTGTGAGTGTGTGTGTGTGTGTGTGTGTGTGTGACAGAAAGAAGGACACATGGAGTGAGAGTCAAACTTTAAAACTTAGCAAAACTGAGGTAAAACTGACAAGGGATTAAATGTAAAGTGATAGAGGTATTATACAGTGCAGAGAAGCCACTGTGTGTGTGTGTGTGGTGTGTGTGTGTGTGTGTGTGTGTGTGTGATGGTCCCATTGGGTTAGTCTGGAACTGACACCCAGAGACTCGTGGGTCGAAGGCTCAAAACTCCAGCAGTGATCTGCCACACTTATCCCATCACAATCCCAGCAGAACCAGTCAAGCCACTGATAATCTCTCACCATCCCCATGAATAATGTTACCACTGTCTGTGTGTGTGTGTATGATCGTTAGTATCATACCAGAGGCGTTGACAGCTTCCTGATGGTATGCTGTGACACACTCACACACACTGTCTCTTCATCCAGTCTCCAGAATCTCTTTTGACAGCTCTTACTGGGAACAGATCTTCAGCCTCTGCAGGGAATCAGGCACTGTGTGTGAAGGAAGGGAGAGTATGAAGACTTGTCAAAGTGTTTTCCAAATCCACTTCCACTTCCATCCAAATAAGTGTGACCTGCACCTTCTCCTAGACAAAACAGAGAGGGAAGAAAAAGAAAAGGCTGAAGTCATATTAATCAGTGTCATTTTACGTATAAAGCACCTGTCAGTCATCTATAATCCAACCTGGGGGTGGGGCCAGGGATTGACCCCATCAATGTGTGTGTGTGGGTTATGTTGAATTTCCCACAGGTTCCACTCTACTGCTGTTTTAGGTCACGGAAAATAGCCAGACAGAAGTGGCCTGGGACTAGCACTAAATCGGTCTCATGAGAAAAATCTGTGTGTGGTGCAAAAGAGCTGGAACAGTTATGTGTAAAACCTATGATGATTGATTGAGATTTTAGATTGTCACCGTTCTAGAAGTTGTGCGTGTATGTACTTAGCTAGGGGTCTTGAACATTTTTCAGGCCAGGACTCCTTAGTGGATAGAGAAACGGAGCAGAGACCTGCATTACATATTTTATAAAACTGTTTTTTTTTTTTTTAAGTTGCCTTTTAGGCCTGGTACTATAATAACGTATTAAGTACCATATTAATGTATTTACATACATGGTTACGAGCTTACATTAAATAATAGCCATATACTTAAAATATTATTTCATTTAACTGTGGAAGGAACAATTAAACATTTATCTTAATTTTAGCTTCTTTAGCTGTAGTTGAAGATAATTTTTTTTAACATATATTTTCTGTTTTTCTGCATATTTTCCTTTTTTCACACAAAATAGCTTTGGATAATTGACAGTTTAGCTAAAGTTAACTGACTTACGCTTGCAATATAACTTCTGACCCCATTGAGGAGGACAAAAAAAAGATCCCCTTTTGGAAAAATTGTTAAATAAATAAAATATTTTTTTATTCTAAAAATGCAAAACGTTCTATGTGCTAGTTACTTACAGTATTTAATTAGATTTAATTAAAAACATAAGTTTAAGATAAGTCCTTATGTAGATGGCTAAATAACCGTGTGTGTATGATTGTGTGTGTGAATTGTGTTACTTTGTTGCCCATTTCAAAGACACAGAGGATTATGGGTGAAAGGATTTAACTTCATGATGGTTTGACCCTGAGGGAGAGATAAAGGGGGAGAGAAAAAGTAAGAGAGTGAAATAGAGAGACTATGGATAATATTCAGTTTGTGAAGCTTGTGGAATGTGTGCAGACCCTAATCACAGGTTCAGAGGGGAAGTTTTGTGAATGTCAGAGGAGAGTGTGTAAAGAAAACAGAACCATGAGAAACAAAACTCTTAAACCAGGGCTGAGATTAGGAGCGTGTAATTTTCACCTTCTGAATGCTGGTGTGCCTTTAGCCTAAATTAGCACATATAACTGTCAGCTGGGTGAGTTATGACGTCCTCAGTCCCAAAACTTTAAGCCAGTTGCAGTGGTTCACGCCTACTGGCCAATCAGATTTAAGTATTATGTTCGGAGCCGAGTAGGTGACACTGTGACGTCGCCTTGGTGATAATCACCCTCTTAGTTCTGGAATTTGTTTTATGTCATGTTGCCGTGTCGACCACAGTCATGGTGATTAGCTACGAGTCTTACAACTCAAGAAACACTGACCCAGAATCCAACACTGGCACAGGGACATCAGTCCATCTCATATATATACACAGTGCCATTCTGACCTCGCACGTTTACTGTCCATAGACGGGACAGTCATTCTGATGGTTTTTTTTTTAATAAAACACACAAAGTTTATGGGTGTGTCTTTGAGTTTTGGCACTTTTGTCCAAGGGATTGTTAGTATTTATTTATCTTTTTTTTTTTTAATTAAAACAGATTTTAACTTTTAATTTTGTTATATGAAAATTACATTAACATGGGCTTGGAGACTTTTTTTTATCATCATTTACATTTCAAATGTGTTTTATGTGTAAATGTTGTCACCTTGCCCAAGAGCCAGATTTGAAAACTTCTTAAAATCTTATAAAAAAAAATCTTAACAAATAGGGAAAAAAGCAGTATTTATTGTGTGAAAATGATTTATATCAAGTTTTCAATAATGGTGATTCCCTCTGTTGTCAGGTTTCAATCACACTAACCGGTTTTCCCCAGGTTTTTTTTTTGGCAAAGTTAGTGTGTTATTTTTGCCAGGGAGACAATCTCGAGCTTAAGATATGAAGACTTGAAGAAAATAAAGAAAAATCATTTGTATGCCAAATATTATATTGTTATTCAAATATTATAAAATTATTCAAATAGCTTAATATTATTATTTAATTGTGTTTCTTTTGGATACATAAATATCTAGCTGTGAAAACAAAATAATTATTTTTTTATTCCAAAAAATATTATAATTGTCATTTATATTATTGTCATTTCCATCACAAAATGCAATTTAACACAATACATTATTTGAGATGTGATGAAAATGACACTGGTAGGCATTTTCATTATTTTCAGAAAGAAAGAAAAAATTCCAGTGATGCATAAGTTGCATAAGATATGTTCAGTGGACAAATTAAATAAACTAGTGAAGAGTGTATCTTAAGAGATTTTATTTTTTATGAAGTCCCATGAAATTACATCACTTTCTGCATTACATAAGAGAAAAGTGCTCACAGAAAGAACTAGTCCCTTAACAAGCAGTGAATCTCTAATGTGAATGTGTAAGTGTGATGAATCAGCTGTTATTGACCAGCTGACGTAATGCTCATTTGTTTAAGTCGTGGGATGTTGCGGTGAGGGACAAGAGTTTGCAACTTTCTGAACTCCAGAGTGTGCGTGTATCTGTGTCCTCTATTCAACATTTATTAGAGAAACACCCTTCATTTATTGCCAAACGTATTGAAATGACATCTTCTGTTGTTTTACAGGGGTATTTTCTGATTAAACCACAGTAAAAGTACACCACTCTATCGCCTCTTTTACACAGCTGATCCTACAAACTCTACACCAGAAACAACACATTAACAGTACATTGTATGTGTCCACACCTATTCTAACACACACATCTGTAGTCTTTGAGTACAGTATCAGAGTACCTCTTGAATTCGAGGGGTTTAAAGTGTTTAATAGACTTTAAAGATTATACAGCAACACACACATCAAATAACCAGTGTTACCACGGTAATCAGAAAACCAGACTGGGGTTAAGGAGCGCTATTATCTGGGACACAGAGAGAGAAAAAGAGAGAATACCTCTTTTTTGTTCTCTAAGTCCTCAACCCTTCAGAAGTGTTTGCACAGAGCCCCGCAACCATGGATCCTTGCCAAACACACACACACACACACACATTTTTTAAATTTTTTATTATTATATTGTGTGTGTGTGTGTGTGTGGGTTTGTGTTTGGCATTGGTATTATGCATTTCTAAGTGGTTGCTAGAGTGTTGTGGATGGTTTTTATGCAATTGCAAGCAAGTTTCTTTTAGTTTTCTCAAGTTTTCTTTTAGATAGTTTCTTGAGTGTTTTGGGAGGCTGCCAGGGTGTTGCTATGCAGTTACTAAAGTGTTTGGAGTGTTATGCAGTTGCCAAGCTTCTCTCAGTAGGGCATTAGAGTGACTCTGTGCAGTTGCTAAGGTGTTCTACATGGGTGCAAGAGCTTTTCTAGGTGGTTTCTAAGGCAAAGTTACATACCGAAGTGTAATGCTAATGGTTACTGGTTTGTTCAACTCTAACTAATCCTAAGTGTGACCAATACTAATAGTGATGCATGCTAGTCTCACATTCAGCATGAAGAAGACCTGGTACAATACATTTTTAACCCCTTTCTCTCCTAAACTCTCTTTCTGTATCTTGCATTACTCTTTTTTTTGTCTAATTTAAAGTTCATTCTATCTATCATTCTGACAGAGTGCCTGTGTGAGAGAGCTTTGTACTTGTGTGTATTATTCTAAATGGACTGAGGGCTTGTGGCTGACCTGGGTGATCACTGCAGTCACACACACACACATGCTGAAACTTGCCGTTTCACTTCTGTTAGGGCTAAGAGCCACCAAATTCATTCTTTGAAGGGATTTGTGTCTGTCTTTGTTGTGTGTATACAAAGTTTTATCTCGGAGAGTGTAGTGGTTGATCTAAAGCAAGAGAGTTTGGAGCAGTTTTATGTTCGCATCTATGTGCCTGAGAGTGAGAGAGAGCCACAGGGAGAGACCACAGAGGGGAGAGTAACTCATGTTATTGTGCCAGCGTGCCCTTGTTGGACCTATAAAGCCTGAAACACAGAAGAAAGGTCAGCAAGGTGGGTTGTTTCTTTTCAGTACAAAGACTGAAAACGCTTAACAAAGAATGACATTTCTCTTCTGTCTCTCCTAAAGAAGAACAACGTTTGGTTACCTGCAGTTTCTTAAAGGGATAATTCACCCGAACACAAAAAGTCTGTCATTGTTTACTCACACTGTCATTACAAACCGCATGGCTTTCTTTCTTTCTCAAAACCCAAAAGCTGAAATTGAGTAATGTGCTGGACACTTTTTTCCAAGCAATTACTCTGCAATACTGGAGCTTTCAAGCTAAGCACTTAGAAGCACCATATAAGTATCATGAAAGTAGTTCATACAGCTTGTGCACTATATTCCAAGTCCTCTGAAGCCATACTGAGAGAACAGACCAGAAATCATTAAAAGTCATTGAAAGTCATTAATTCACAAATTCATCTGAACGAATCCGCCATGTAGACTGGTTTTGTAGACAGAATCATCTGATTCAGTGAAAAGATCTGATTCAGAAGAATATATAAATCCGAGATCTCTACTTTTCTCATGAACTCTCATGAGGTCGTACAGATTTGAACAGCATGAGGGTGAAATATTGATGGCAGAATTTATTTTTTGTGTGAACTATCCCTTTATTTCCCCCTGCATGTGAGCAAAGGCCTTTCCTCACGCGTTTCAATCTTTCTTTTCTCTTTCGCTCCCTTACTGGAGGTTCTGACAGTTGGTCTCAGTCCAGAGGAGCCGCTCAGCAGAACAGTCGACTCCTTTCTCCTCTTCTCTTTCACTCTCTCTCACTCGTTCTCTCTCTCTTCAGGATCTCACTCGCACCGAGCGTCATGAACCGAGAGGCTTATGACACAGTTACCTCCTTCTCTCTTCTTTCTTTCTTTCTTTCACTCTCTCTCTCGTTTGGCTTGTTTTGTCTGGTGTTGTCATTGTGTTCTTAAGGTTAATTATTGTTGGTTTATTTTGGACTTAGCAGCATTTAGTCTGGTTTTAAGGCCTGGTTCCTGTGGAAGAGTCTTCATCTGTGTGTGTATGTGTGTGTGAGCATGTCCTGCTCCAGCCTTGGCTGTAATGATGATGTACGATTTGCTGCGTTGGCACAGCCTCTTTGCTTAAAGAGATGTGAAGGGCGCTGGGATGCACTTTTCTGCTCTACTCTTGTATACAGTAAATCGCCCAGGATGGGGGGTGTGAACCTTGCTGGATGTACTTGAATGTGTGTGTCTCTCTCAACCACACACGGTCCTGCAGTAGCTCATATTAACTGTGTTTATAGTAAATTAGCACAGCTAATCAGTGTGACAGCGCTACAGACAGAGGGACTGTGTGTGTGTGTGTGAGAGTGTGTTTTATTATGAGACTTCTGCTGTCTGCCTGTGTGAATAGTTCCATTATTCACAGCAATAGAAACAGAAAGAGAGGAAGAAAGAACAAAGCACTTTTATATTTGGTTTAGGATGCTGCTATATTTGTTACTCTGTTTAAAATAAATACAAAAATCAACACGCTGGAGGATAGTCTAGTTTTTCAGGATTCTGTACATTTTAGCAGTGCAGTAAAACTGTGCAAGTGTGTGTGTGGGTAAAATCTATATTCAGTGGAGTCAGTAGGTCTCCTCTCATCTTACTGGTGATGCTCACTAACACATTCAAATTCAACACTGCAGCAAATGGGTATGTAAAGTATTGGTGTGTGTGTTGCTAAAGGGCTTTTGGAGATGTAACAATTGTTAAAAAAAATTTGAAATTTATCCCTCTCTGTTTAATCTTCCTCTTATAACACTTATCATTCTCTTTCTCTTCATTTCTCAACATTGTTTTGCCATAATGGGACTTTCCTTTAACTTATTTAGTTTTTACACCAAGCTTAATGATATTTTCTGTTGTCTAACTCTAAACTTAAGCCTAACACAAACCTTTCTGCATGTTTCCATTTTCATTGACACATTCTTTAGGATGTTTTTAGGCCATTTTCATTGTGAGGACTGTTGGCTTGTCCCCACAATGTAGGACAAAGAAATCACACACATTTACTTAAATATCTAATAGATTTCTATTGTTTTAAAATAACCCAACATTTTGTCAGATTTTCTCAAAGTTCTGGGGACATTTTAGTATGGCCAAGGAAACTTACACACTTGTGCAGTTGTAATTATAAGTTTGCATATATATTTTTGAGTACTTCCCTGAAAAAGCTATTTCACATAATAGGTTTACATATGGCCCACAAAACAAAATAATGATGTTACACAAATGAAACTATTCAAAATTTAAATGCATACTGATATTGATCCTTAATCCTGGGTAAAAATAAAAATCCGAGTTGTAAAAATATGATCCTAACAATACGTACATAAATACAGCAATATCGGTCTTTTACTAGCACCTAAAAATCAGAAAGATGTGGAGAAAGAAACTGAAAGATGCTCGGTTTCATTTTGGCAGGAGGGGTTGGACAGCTGAATAGAAAAAGAACTATAAAATAACTATACAGATTCCTCTTAAAGTGTCTGACATACTGAACTCATGCACATGCACACACACACACACTCAGACAGTCTTACACTCATGAGATAAAGTGAGAATATTAAAACCAAAAGTGCGTAAATACATCAAAGTGTGTTCAGTTATCTGTTTTGACGAAGAGGTTCCTGTTTTAGCTTGAGGATCTCAGCAGTTTATTTCAATGGAAGTCTGAATGATATGTTTTAAAATGATACAGTATAGAGTCAGACAGCTCCTCTCCTGTTCTGTCCTCTAATTTATCATTTCATTACCCTCCACATGCTGAATATGACCTAGTGCAGTAAGCAAGCACATACACACGGCAGAAATTAGATGTTGTTGGTCTGAAATGAGAGCTGGATGGTGTTCTGACCGAGTGGATCTTGGCTTTCAGTTTGGGCATGCAGTGAACCTGGACCAGAACCATAAAAAGACCAAATGAAAGGCTCAACAAGACCGATTGCTTTGACATCCAGTTCTGTATGAGTGAGCGTATATATGTATGTGTGTGTGTAATATGAGATCAGATTTCTCCCTTCTCATCTTAGACAGGACAGTAGATTTAGACCATCTGCTACTGAAATAAAGCATAGTTGTATCTGCATACATGTGTTAAGGTTTCTGTGTTTAACTCTTTGTGGTTTCATGTTTTTTTCTAGATCTCCAGCAGTTTAACGGCATTAAGCGGTTTGACTTGGAGCATTCGTGTTCTTTTGGAGCTCTCCTTTTAGATGAGGAGAGGGGGCGGCTATTTGTTGGAGCTCGTAACTTTCTGTTATCTCTCAGTCTCGACAACATCAGCAAACAGGAACAGAAGGTACAGCACACTCCTTACCCCTTACTTCATCCATAATGTAAGTGTGATAGGAAACAGTCTTCCCTTCTGTACTGTGTCTCTCTCATCAGCTAATTAAGTTTTAAACAAAGGTGTAACCCTGTCAATCATAACTCACTGATATACAGCATAAGCACCTGGGGACAGATTCACAAAAATATTCCCCAGAAGAAAAATTAAGTTTGTAAGAATTTTATTAAATGCAATTCTTGAAAAGTTCTTCAGGTGATCACAAATATTTGAAGAATAAAATGACTGATTGAATACTAGGTACTACTCATTTCAAACACCCTACAATCTAATTATGTATATAATAACATAATAATAATAATAATAATAATCGTTACATTTCAATTTCTTATTTTCTTCTTTTTTTGTGCCTTTTCTGGAATACAAAATATTCTTAGCTTTATTCTTAAGTTGGAATAAGAAGAAAATATTAGTATTTTTATTCTTAAAAACGTTTGCTTATTTAACTCCTGTGCATACATTTACTTTAATGAAGCAGTCCAGTGTTTATACCTGGTTTTAACAAATGAAGTGATTACAATGAAGTGATTGGATTTTTTATAACCTGTTTACACTTGCATTTTGTGCCCCCCACATGTGATTAGATTGTGTGTGCATTTATGCTATAGAGATCCAGTCAGGAAGCTTTAGCGTTTATTTATTAAAATTAATCAGTCTTTAAAGTCATGCCAGTTGGTTTATGGTAGTCCAAGCCAACATGCTGATGACAGAATGATGGATTTTTATTTCTTTAGGAAGGAAAAAGAAGGAATGATGAGTGAGAGTTGTCGGTCACTGTGTGCTGGCTTTAGGCTCACGCAAGCACTCACAGGTGTGGTTAAGGGAGAATATGCCCGGATGTGTGTGCATTTGTGCATCGCCCCTGGACATGTTTTAACTGTGTCTCTGATGGGGTTCAGCGAGAATGTCCCTCAAGCTACTGAACCACGTCTAACCCTGCAAAGGTCCTAACCTTTAGCCAAAACTCTTCCTCACTTCTGGACTCGCTCTCTCTCTCTCTCTCTCAGATCTACTGGCCAGCGCCTGTTGATTGGAGAGAAGAGTGCAACTGGGCTGGGAAAGACATCAATGTAAGTGTCTACAATAATCAGATCTTGCGGTCACCAACACACCCGGTTTACACATCTATCAGTACCATCTCTCCTATGAGCTGTTTACACACAAACACACACACTTAAGCAATTAGCACTGCTATCACAAACATCTCTTCCAAACGGCTCCAACATTAACAGACATAAATCAGTGTAGAGCCAAGGTTTTCAATCAGGGGTCTGTGGGGTCCATGAAAATAATTCAGGGAGCCCACAAAGAAGATTTACAAAACATATAGAATGCTCTTTTAAACATTTCATAATATTGGTGAACATTTGCTTATCTGATAAGCATTATATATTGTAATAATAGTTTTAGTTAGTTTTTTGATGAACGTTATAATAAGGTGTTACTGATTAAAATCTGATGTTTTTATATTTATTGAGGGTCCATAGGTTGGTTAAGAGTCTAGGTCTATAAAGGTTAAAAATTCCTGGCATAGAGTGATTTAGAATAGAACAAATGTATAATTAAGAATTATAGAAATATAGAATTAGAATTAAAAATATAATTAAGAATATTTTTATTCAGCAAGGATGCTTTAAATTGATTAAAAGTGACAGTAAAGACATTTATAATATTACAAAAGTTTTCTATTTCAAATAAATGCTGTTGTTTTGAGCTTTCTATTCATAAAAGAATCCTGAAAAAAGTGTAGCATGGTTTTCACAAATATATTAAGCAGCACAACTGTTTTCAACGTTGATAATAAGGAATATTTCTTGGCCACCAAATCAGCATATTAGAATAATTTCTGAAGGATCAAGTGACACTGAAGCCTGGAGTAATTGCTGCTGAATATTTAGCTTTGCCATCACAGGAATAAATTACATTTTAAAATTGATTAAAATAGAAAACAGTTCTTTTAAATTGTAATAATATTTCACAATATTCCTGTTGTGCTGTATTGTTTGATCAAATGAATGCAGCCTTGGTGAGCATAAGAGACGTTTCAAAAATGACATGGTATTATCATGGAAATATGTCCAAAAACATGCGAACACCATAGTACTTTTTGTAAGTGGAGTTTGTTTTATATTGTGCCTTTAATACATTTGTGTTGTAACATGTTGAACATGTTTGTGAAAAGGTCATAATTCATGTTTTTAGTGTGTATGTATTTTATCTAAGCGGATATGTGTGGGATGTTTTGGACACTGTGTCTGTCTGAATGCTCTCTTTTTTGTAAAGGCTGTGTAAAGTTGTGTAACTTCAAAATGTGTGTTGGGCTTCATTCTGCGGTGGGTAACTGACTGAGGTCAGCTGACAATGAGAACTGACACAAACACAGACTTTGTTCAGTGCGCTGACCTGTGAGTTGACCCTCATTACATGTAGGTGTGTACAGGACGGCAGGGACAGAACCAGACCTCCATGAATAAAGACTTAAGATTTTCCCTGGGATTCTCCCACTGACCTTTCACTTTCTCATGCTGTCTCTCCTTTGTTCAGTCTCTCAGTCTAAACTCCTGATTTCTCACTCAGAATTGCTTTCAATTTACTCACTTCTCTGCATCTCTTCAGTGTCTTTATGTCCTCCTACTTTCCCAGTCCCTGTGTTTCAGTCTCTGGCATACAACCACAGCTCATAGTGCCCACATCTGTTAAGCTCCAAAATGAGGGGGAAAAAAAACAAGAAACATCATAAAAGTATCAAAAAAGTAGTCCATATTACTTGTGCGTTATATTACAAGTCTTCTGAAGCCATACAACATCTTCATATAATGAACTGATTGCAGTTTAAGTGAGCTCTGCAATTAGTCATTGAGTTCAGATCAGTCCGAATCGTGATCGAATCACTTGGTCAGATTTGTGAAATAGATTAACAGGATCAACATGATTCATGCAATTTGATTCTCAGGTTCAACTCAGTGAACTGACTCAATGATCCCCTAGCAGTTCTCGAGTCAACAGCTAACTGGAGGGGAAGATTATTTGTGAATAGTTCAATTCCAATAAAATCATTTCTGAATGAATTCCCCTTATCAACATATTCATTTTAATTCTAACATGTCTCCCAAAAACAAAATAACAAGCTATAGATGCTAGATGTTCTGTGACTACATGTGGTCAATCACACAGGGATCCAATGATCAGGCTCATGAAAGGTCAAAGTTGAAAGTTCACCGCACGCGTCTCAGCAGGAAATTCACTCACACATATATGGCTTATTCCTCCTGAGAGACATTGTTCATTTTAAAGCTCTTTTTCTTTTGTTGTGTGCTCTGTCTCTTTTTTTTCCTCTCAGTCTATCTTTCTTTCTTTTTTCTTTGTCTCGTGGGCTCACTTCAAAGAGCCCATCAGCACACACACACACATGCTCACACACACCCCTAACACGTCCTTCCCTTATTGAGGGCTGTAAAGCTCTCGAAACAGAAGCCCTAGTGTGTGTGTATACGAGAGGTAGAGAGAAAGGGAGAGACCCCTTTCTGTATAAACACAGTTTGTCAGCAACTTAATTGGTCTTCGATGATTCTATCCCGCCACCCCCACCGTACAACACACACACTCTTCACAGGGTGTGTTAAGCTCAAAGAGAGGCCTTTGTTCTCCACAAGCCCTGTATGTGTGTGTCTGTGTGAGTTTGTGTGCAGGGTTTAAGCATGGCAGGAGGGCACATGTCAATCACATCTTTCTGTAAAGGTAGTGAAGAGGTTACACAAAACACACACAACACACACACACCTTTTAATCTAGCATGATTATGCTGCCTGCTTAGATACCTTGTTTTTGCCATATTCCATAAATGCATTACAACGATGAGTAAAATCCAATATGTTGAATGAAATTCAGATTATAAATATATTGCTTTCAATAACAAACAGTATAGACAGAAATGTAAGTAAAACTGTCAATTTTACTTACATTTCTGTCTGTACTGTTTGGTCTTATTATAGATACATTGTGTGAATTACAGTGCCACACTGTCCCCTGGAACCCAAAGGAGAAGTGTCTAATATTTGAAGTTCTGTGTGTGTGTGTGTGTGTGTGTACCTGTGTTTCTATTCTGGTGGGGACTTAAACCTGAATACACACAGACTCATGGGGACTCATGTCACGGTGGGGGACCTAAATTGAGGGTCACGGTGGGGACCTAAATTGAGGTCCCCATGGGTAAACAAGCTAATAAATCACACAGAACTGAAGTTTTTTGAAAATCTAAAAATGCACAAAGTTTCCTGTAAGGGGTAGGTTTAGGTGTAGGGTTGGTGTAGGGCTATATGATATACGGTCTGTAGAGTATAAAAACCATTACGCCGATGGAGAGTCCCCACAAGGATAGCAAACCAGACGTGTGTGTGTGTGTTCCTTGAGCAAAGATGTTCAGTTCAGGGTTCATTCTGCTGCTGAAAGCCCACTGTTAGTCAGTGAGAGAAGATGGAGTGAGGCATAATTACAGTCCAAGCAGCAAGAACATCTGCTACTGAAACTGAAGAGACCCTGAGAGGAGACCCTCTTCTCTTCTCTTCTCTTCTCTTCTCTTCTCTTCTCTTCTCTTCTCTTCTCTTCTCTTCTCTTGAGTCTTCTTCTCTTCTCTTCTCTTGAGTCTTCTTCTCTAGTAATCTCATCTCTCATCTATTCTCTTCTCGTGTCTTCTTGTTTTGTCTTGTCACTCCTCTTCTCTAGTAATCTCCTCTAGTCTCTTTTCTTGTTGTCTTTGGTCATCTTGTCTCTGGTGGTCTCTTCATGACTTACATCTTCACTGTTTTGTCTTCAGCCTTCTCTTCTTCTTTCATCTAGTCTTGTCTCTTCACTAGTTCTCTCGTCTAATCTCTTCTTTGTTGCTGTCTTTCCTTGTCTCATCTTGTCTCAAATCTTCTCTGGTCATATTTTCTCTTCTTGTCTCAAGTCGTCTCTTCTCCTCTCTTCTTCTTGTCTTGCTTTGGTATTCTTTTCTTGTTTCTCTAGTCATCTCGTCTAGTCTTTTCTCTCGTTGTCTTTGGTCATCTTGTCTATGGTTGTCTCTTCTTGACTTAAGTCTTCTCTGGTCTCGTCTTTGGCCTTTTAGTCTTGTTTCATCTTGTCTTTTCTCTGGTCCTCTCGTCTGGTCTCTTTGCTGTCTATGGTTATCTCTGATTGTCTGTTGCAGTCTCTTCTTGTCTCATCTCGTGTCAAATCTTCTCTTCTCTGGTTATATCCTCTCACCTCATCCTTGTCTCATCTTGTATTTTCACGTCTCATGTCGCCCCTTCTCTCCTCTTCCACATTCCTCTCTTTTCTCTCTGTGCTTCATCCCTGCATCCTCTCCCACTACCCCGGGATCTGGATGTTCCCGCTCCCTCATGTTGTCGTAGTGATTCCAGGCACTCTGGGAAATTTGGCATGCTCCAGCGAGCGCATTCACAAAGGAAATGAGAAACAGAGATTATATGTGTCCATGAGTGTCGGTTGAACAGTCAACGTGTCTTTGTTTTTATGTGTGAAAGAGACAGAGCAAGAGATTACAGAGAGTTCCGGGATCACAGCGAGCAGGGAAAGGTCAGAGCTGACTGTCAGACTGTCGTCAAGGATATATGTAACACAATGACGTTTCATTTCTGATCCGCCCCATACGTGGTCCCTTAAGAGAAAAATGTGGATATTTTTGTGTCTGCCTTTGGCTCTGAGCTACTAATAGTCAATCTAGATGTTGACAGTTTCCCTGTCTGACAGATGAACTGGTGAAAGTATGTAAAATATGTCCTTTATAAAACTGATGTGTGCGTGTGTATGTGTTGCAGACGGACTGCGTAAACTATGTGAAAGTGCTACACCACTACAATCGGACTCACTTGTATGCCTGTGGGACAGGGGCTTTCCACCCCACCTGTGCTTATGTGGAGGTGGGACAGAAAATAGAGGTAAGTGTGTGAGCATTTGGACGTGTGTGTGTGTGGTATACAGTCCCAGTTTGACTTTCAGTTGGCCAGATGCACTACTTTATTTTCCTTTGTCTCTATAGGATCATGTGTTTAAAATCGACCCCTCTATGGTAGAAGATGGAAAAGGAAAGAGTCCGTATGACCCACGCCACACATCAGCATCTGTTCTAATTGGTTAGCTGCCACTGTTCAGCTTTCTGTCTTACGTTTAGATGCTGTTACATCATGTCTAAACAGTAGCCATTTCTACATCATCATATAGGTGATGAGCTTTATGCAGGCGTGGCCACTGATTTAATGGGGCGGGACTTTACAATCTTTCGCAGCATGGGACGAAGGCCCTCCATACGAACAGAACAGCATGATTCTCGCTGGCTCAATGGTGCGTATATATATGAGAGAGCATCTTAAAAATCAGGGTGATACAACTGTCCTGATATCATGACAAAGAAAAAAAAACTCATTAAAAGAACGAAATTCTTGAAAAGAAAACATTAAATTGTTTATCTTAATCTTCTATTATTATTCGCAATATTATAAATGTTTAGCCAAATTAACATCATGCGGTTTAACCAACATGCAGAAAAAAACAAAACTAGAAATTATTTCAGAAAGGATAAGCATATGATGTTTTTTTTGTTTTTTTGTTTAATAACAATGAGCCCTATGATAATGCTGTTTTTCAGAGCCCAAGTTTATAGCGGCAGTTGGTGTTCCAGAGAGTGAGAATCCTGATGATGATAAAGTCTTCTTCTTCTTCAGAGAAACTGCTGTAGAAGCTCAGGGATTTGGGAAGGTTACATATTCCCGGATTGGTCAGCTGTGCAGGGTTAGGAGCAGGATTTATCAGCGCTGTTTTATATGTGTTTATGCCTAATGGTCGTTGACTGCTGTTTATCATTTTGGCTTAAATTACTTTTTTTTTTTTTTTTTGACAGAACGATATGGGAGGACAGCGCAGCCTAGTAAATAAGTGGACGACATTTCTAAAGGCTCGTCTTGTGTGTTCTGTACCAGGCAACGATGGCACTGAAACACATTTTGATGAACTTAGTAAGAACTCTCTCTCACACACACACAGACACTAGGCTTAAATTATGCTGTTTTAACTGACAACTGCATTTCATTGCCGTCTGACCTTTGTCCGGACCTTTAGGGGATGTGTTCCTGCTGCAGACCCGTGACCGAAAGAACCCGCTGATCTACACCGTCTTTACCACCTCAAGGTCAGAGTTCATCAAAGGGTGTGGTTTAAAGGCTTAGCTCACCCCAAAAAGTTAAATTCTGTAATTGTTTACTAATCCTCATGTCGTTCCAAACCTGTATAACTATATTTCTTTTGTAGAACACAAAATTTAATATTTGGCCAAATGTTTTTTTTTTTTTTTCTTTATTGAACTTTCTCCAAAGTCATTGGGGTCCAGTGTTGTTTTGGACCCTAGTGACTTTCATATGAACAAAAGCAATTCTTCAAAATAGCTCCTTTTTTGTTCCACAGAAGAAAGTAAGTCATATAAAAAGGCATGATGGCAGAATTTTCATTTCAATTAAAACAGTTCCCAGGTAAATTGAGAATTTCAATAATAAAAGATAGGCCAAAATACTTGAACTCAGCATTTGTGTGACTATTTTATCTCCCTGTACTGTAATGTGTGTTTGTGTCTTACAGCAGCGTATTTCAAGGTTCTGCAGTTTGTCTCTACACCATGAATGACATTCGCCGGGCATTTTTAGGACCTTTTGCCCATAAAGAGGGACCCAATTATCAATGGGTTCCATTCCAGGGTAAAGTGCCGTATCCACGGCCAGGCATGGTAAGGACAGTTTCCTTATATCTCACATTATAAACTATTATAATTTTTTTGTTGTTGTTGCTGAATCCATGATACATTTTTCTTAATGAACTGTAGTGTAAATAAATAGCATCAATGCCATTTCAAAACAAGTTTGTGGGAATATAAATTTGTTTGTGTGAATGTTAGAAAAGCAAAAGTAGATGAAGATTAGTCATTAACTGTTTATAGGTCTGGACTTGCTGACCTGTGTAGACGGATTGTGTCTCTGGATTCTACAGATATCTCTTTCTCTCTTCCTCAGTGTCCCAGTAAAACCTTCGGGAGTTTTGAGTCCACTAAAGGTTTCCCTGATAACGTAATCCAGTTTGCAAGGCACCATCCATTAATGTTTAATCCAGTCACTCCACTGGGAGGCCGGCCGCTGTTCCTGCGCACTGGAATACCATACACCTTCACTCAGATTACTGTAGACCGGGTCAACGCAGCTGATGGACACTACGATGTAATGTTCATCGGCACAGGTAGAATATTGACTGAGTATTGGAGAAACTCTCAAGACTAAACTGTCTTTGCTGGTTGTGGCTCTGGTTAAAGCCTCTCTGTGTCTCTCTGCAGATATCGGCTCTGTGCTGAAGGTGATCTCTGTGCCCAAGGGAAGCTGGAGTAACACAGAGCTTCTGCTAGAGGAGCTTCAGGTCTTTAAGGTGAGAGGAGTGTGTTTGTGTGTGTGTTTACATAAAACTGCAAACATTTTTTTTTTTTTTTAAGTTTCATTTTTTAAGTTAGTCTGTAGCAATTATGATTCACTTTACATTTAAAGAAAATAGCCTAAAATTAAAATTAAACATCAGTAAAACCAGCTCTTGTGTTCTTGTTGCAGGATTCTTCATCTATTATCAGTATGCAGATTTCCTCTAAACGGGTGAGAATGTGTCTTTGTTTAAAAATATACATATCTGTTATTTTTAAACAGTATTACAGAAACACATGAAAGCAGCATATTAGTGAATCACGTGATTATTTTCTCTCTCTCTCTACAGCAACAGCTGTATGTTGGCTCAGACACAGGTGTTGTCCAGGTGCCTCTGCACCGCTGCAGTATGTACGGTAAAGCTTGTGCCGAGTGCTGCCTGGCTCGAGATCCATACTGTGCCTGGGACGGACACACCTGCACACGCTACCTGCCAAACACAAAACGGTACAGCTTCAGTCATACTTGCCATTACATGGCTTTATTCATACACATTTACAGTGGAGTCTAAAATTCTGTGACCACATAGAAAACCTGGGAAATGATTTCTGAGAAATAATTTTTACTATTGGTCTCTGACTGTTGGACCCCACTGCATTTCACACTCAAACCTGAAGAAGTATGTCATGCTAAGACTTTTTAATATGTTTGTGTGTATGTGTATTGATGTGTGTAGGAGGTTCCGGCGTCAGGATGTGAGGAATGGGGATCCTAATGCACTCTGCTCAGGAGGTAATACTGCAGTACCTCTGTCAGCCTCTTGGAGGAGCCATTTCTCTGTTCTCACTACTGAACAGTTGTTCAGTCACAATGTGAATTAAGCGGTGATTCTTAACTGGTGGGTCACAAATCAGCTCATGAGTATCAGAGATAAAATCCACTACAATTCAAAAGTCTGGGTCAGATTTTAAAAAATCAGAAAAGACATTAAATTGATCAAAAGTGACAAAAATACTTAAATGCTGTTATTTTGAAGTTTCTATGTATCAGAGAATCCTGACAAAAAGCTAAATGCAAAAGCCAACATAGGGTTGTATGACATCATCTCATCCAAAAAAGTAAAAGAAAAAACAACCCAGACTTTATTAAAGTCAGCTTCAATTGCAAAAACACCCGAAAATTACAAGGTTGGTCACACTGTACATATAATATTTTGTTGTATAAATTCACTTGAAGCATTTAAAACGATTTTATGGTGTATTCTACAGAAAATTTGTATGCACCTTTAATATTGCCAATATAACATTAAAATAATTATCGTCTTATTGCTATTGACCAGAATTTGTATATCAGTGCATTATACACATTATTGAGTCTATGCAGTTAATACATTTCAGTCTTCAGTCTAATATGAGTAACCAGATTGTCTAATGCCTTATCTAAATGTCTTATACATTGCAATGTTTTGCAGACCATCAGAAGCAGCGTGTTCTGGAGAAGAGGCTGTATGCTGTGGATGGAAGCAGCTCCTTCCTGGAATGCAACCCGAAATCATTACAGGCCCAGATTACATGGACCTATCAGAGGCACCCGGAAAACTCACGGGAGGAGGTGAGAGAGAGGAGCGAGGCAGGCTGGGAGATGGTCCTCACTGCAGAACACAAGATCCAGGGGGCAAAGATGAATCCAGATCCAACTCCGCCCACCTTACATATACCTAAACCTACCCGTCTCCACCCCCTGATCCCTAAACCCACCCATCTCCACCCCTAAACCTACCATCTCCACCTCCTAGATGTGGATCCAACCCCACCCCCTGGATCTTTGTTCTGCAGTGAGGGGCTACTGCAGGCTGGGGCAGATACTGTATGTGGGGTTATTATGAGAAAGACAGATATAGACAGCATTGATAAGAGATGATAAATGTGTGTCTTTGTTTGAATTAATGACTTTCATTCTCTCTTTCCTATCAGTGCGGTTATAACTGATACTTGATGCATTTATTTAGTGTGTGTGTGTGTGTGTGTGTGTGTGTGTGTGTGTGTGTGTGTAATTACAGGTTCGTTTAGATGACCGTGTTTTGCAGACTGAGCGAGGCCTGTTGCTAAGGCGAGCCGTGCGTAGAGACAGCGGTGTGTATCAGTGTCACGCAATGGAACACGGATTCACCCAGACCATCCTCGTGATCACGTTGGAGATTTTGCCTTTGGCTGGCTCCGCCCCTTCAGCTCCTATCCCTCGCAGCCCCGCCCACTCCCACGCCAATCACGGGCAGTCTACCAATCAAAAGCTGTGGTACAGGGACTTCATGCAGTTGGTGGATCACCCAAACTTAAACACGGTCGACCAGATCTGCGAGCAGGTTTGGTCACTCAAGCACAGTCTTTCAGGGAAGAGCTCTCCAGATACAGCCAATGAGGCACCGGTTCACGACCCGCTGCACTCTAAAAAGTGGAAGCACCTGAAGGAAGTGAGGAAAGGGCGAAATCGCAGAACGCATGATGGGAGACCCGCCCCCAGAGCGCCGCGGAGCGCGGCAGAGTAGCGAGGGATGAGAGACGGAGTGAAAAAGAGACTGAGAGACAGAAAGAAAGAGCAAAAACCACTGGAGGTGGACAGATTCTCATACAGCATTTCATTCAATGACTGTTTATCACCTGTTCTGCTTCTTATTACCCCTGTGACGACACTCCACTGCCTGTTATCAGTCTCTATATACTCTATTGCCCTCATCTCCAGTCTGAAGACTCAATCTAGTGCCCCCACGACCCAAATCCCACTCCCGCCAGCATCTATTACTCCTGATGTTTATCCAGAAACCCACACTCCATCCAATTCATCTAAATACTAACACAAACTCAAGAGGTCCTAAAATCCATAAAATCCCTTTGAATTGTAACAGGAAAAGCTTTGATCAGAAATTGAGGACACAAAGACGTGCATGCACTGCGTAAACACAGGCTCTTGTGGACACACATTGAGTAAATACATGCATACTCTTGTTTTCATCTGGTTGTTTGTGCAACATGTGTTCTGTATATTAGATTCTTCTCTCACTTTGGCCCTGAAACAGAGACCTCACAGACCCTTGACTCACCAGCACCAGATGAACATCATCACTTTTCTTTCACTGCTTGAAGACTTAAAACACAACATTTCAAGCAAACAAAAGACAAAAAAAAGGAGAAAAAAACTGTACATTTGTGAACTGGTAAGGTTGTAGCTACTGTAAGAGTGTTTAAGTAAATGTTTTTTCATGTGACGGTAATTATATACCTTGCAAGCTTAAAGCTTCACTGAGCTTTACATTTCTGGCCGTTCTGTAAAGTAACAAAGGTGAACTATTTTGAGTTATTAAGTTATGTTTCAGGTGTTCTGATTATGTGTTGAATGAGACTGAGATGGGCACAGCATTAATGTACAGGGGCATTATGGGTAGTATGGTCTGAGACCAGGTGAGGAAATATACAGAGAAACCTTTTTAGATTATACACTTTTTGGTCTAAACTTACAACTAACCTCTTGAATTAAAAAAAAATCTGAATAGCTATGCATATGTGTCTGTGTAAGAAAGATTTTCCTGCTTTTTATACAGCTCTACCATATACGTATGTTCACCATTTAAAAAAATGAGCCTTCTGTGAGCATCATATACTGGATTATTATGTTTGCAAGTACATAATGGGTTAAATCAGAAAACGCAGATCCGAAGTCCTTTCTGAAGAGAAGAAACAAGAAAAAGTACCTACAAAAAATGTCTTTAGCTCTCACTCTTACAATTCAGATGAATATTTAATATAACACATTTAACGAGTATAGCCGATTTTTCATTGACACATTCTGTCTTTTGAAAATAGCGCAAAAGCGATATGGGAGCGAGTTAGGCTCATAGATATGTACATATATGCATAGCCTATAAATTTCTATGGTTAGGCTACTTTAGTCATGGTTGCTACTTTAAAACTGTGGTAACTTATCCGCCACCACAAAAAAAGAAGTTATTTTGGACACTATGGTTAGCAAGGTGGATAGGTGGCGCTGGCGCAGGAGAGGTCTCTTGGGCTCATGCTGTCTCGGTCTGAGGGCCCTCTTCTGGTGTCTGTGGGTATTTGTGGTTTCTGCTGTGTCGGGGATGAGAGAAACGTGGCATTGTAAAATAATCAATTCTGATTCATTTTTAAATGGATGTAAGAATGTTTTGAGCGGAACTGGCGGATTATCATGTGGTAGTATTTATATCCGTTTTCTAAAAGTTTTTTTTTTTGCATGACTTAAAACGTCTTGATGAGCTTTTTTTATACAATGGGAAGACCATGTTTTAAAACTGTCCTGCAAGATCATCTGGTGTTTTCAACATATATTTATGGCTCGATAAGCTAATGTGTTGTGGTGGTTTGTGATAAAACTGACCTACATGTGTAATGTCCATTTTGACAGAGGAGAATATGAGAACGTCCTTGTGTGTATATTTTGAAATCCTTTTCCTTCTTTTGAATACATATTTAAAGACCTAACCTAACACAATTCGAAAGTAACTATTTGGGTAATTTAAAAGACTATTCAAACAGCATTTCAAACTCATCTGATTTTCTTTGTAGTATTTGTGACGCTTCTCATCTTTTGAGAGAGAGTGTAAGAAAATAGCGGGTGTACCGTGTATGTGTCACAATGTGAGAGAGGCTCTGTGTGTTTGTGCTATTAAATATTAGGATTTCTGTACATTGGGGGAAAGTGTGAGTTGCATTTTGTGGACAAGTCAAAGGTCGAAGGCCAAAGTTGACGTGAACACTATTATTCCCTGAGTATTTTCTCTGTGGATTGTTGCATCAGACTGTAAATGATTAACACAATAAAACATACAGTTACTTAAAAGAATAACTCCTCAATTTGTATTTTTTTATAGAGCAAGGAGTGAGAATTTAAAGGGGTCATATGATGCTTTTTTTAAAGATCATTATTGCAACTTCAGGGATCTTATCTATGCACAATCAGCTTGTAACACTCCAAAGAGAAAGTAAAACTTGAAATCGCATCATATGACCCCTTTAAGAAAAAAAAAATTGTATGCAGTAGCGGGATCTCACCACTCAAGTGCGCTGCTGTGCATGCTGTGTTTCACACTAGTCACGCTTTTAACAGAATATTTCATATGGTACGATTATTTTTAAAGTAAAGAACAAAAATAGAATTTAGAATGTGTATTAAAATGTATATTTAGAATTAAAAAATGTAGCAAAAAAATTATAAATGAGTGAAGGAAAGGTGTTGAACAACTCCACATTATTGCCCAGAAAAATAAAACGTGAAATAATTATGAAATTCTTTCTATTTATTTTTTAGTAGTTGCATTATTGAATTTGCTTATAAAGACAATATAAAACATGACCACTTGCTACACATTTTCCATTCTGTCTACTAACTGGTAATGTCTCTTTCTGTGACAGCTGTAGTGATTAATGATGCCAATTAGTGCTAATTAACCCTTCATTAGACTCCTTAACCTCTCAGACTCTCATTAGAGGTGTTGACTTAAGAAAGCAGGGTCGACAGATCGTCTCACTGACTCACCTATAGATTCTTGTACTCATTTTCATTCTTTGTTTCTTTTCTGTCTTTCTTTCGCTCTCACTCAGACCTCAGACCAGACAGAGCAGGAGAGTTTAGAGAGGAGGCTGACAAAACAAACCCAAACCATGACATCGGAAGAGAAGATACCAGGTGAGTGGAGAGAGATGAATTTGTACAAGTGGCATAGAAAAACACACCTCCCTGAAAAATGAAAATGAGTTAATTAAGACATAATTGGGCTTCAGAAAATATATTTGTGGATCTTATTACAAGGGCTGTGGGAAAAAGAAAGAATATGTGGAGATGTGGATTTAAACCGAACTAAACTGTAATGAGGCCCCTTGATAGTGATTGAGTGAACATGGTTTCTCCATTCCTTCTTTGGCAGCTCTGCATTATTCTGTAAATGACTGAATTTTTACACAGCTGTGCTGGTCAGTATAGTGTTATACAGGTGTGGAAACACTGGTATGTCCGATTGGACCTTGATGGTGTTTGTCCATGTTTCTAAACAGGAAGTGTGTCATCGGTGTGCGTCAGGGATGATCAGTGATACTGTAGCTGCTGTGTTTCACCGTTTACAGCAGTCTTCACTGAATGACTGTTTGTGTTTGCCAAGTTTTCTGGAGTTCAGTGCACTTCAGATAAATGTGAGGCTGTGATGGAACAGGAGAGAATTAGGCAGACTTGGGATGAGGTGACTCCCTAAATTTTAAAGGTTTTTGTCGTTTAATGGAAATCCTAAATGAATTCACTTTAAGCTAGTTTCTGCCATGGGATTTAAAATTGTGACTATCGTGCAATTCTGTTTAAATCTCACAATTCAAAACTTTTCCTTGTAATTCTGAGAAAGTTGCAAGTTGTAAACTCAGAATTATGAGAAACTTGCAATTGCGATAAGGTCAGATTTTTGAAATATAAACTTGCAAAGTCAGAATTGTAAGATTTTGTTATTTTTGTGTTGAATCCTGAAAGGTTATTGTAACAAACTGGCTGTTTCAAACACATGAAATAAATTTAGTTTTCACTTTATGCTACGGCCAAAGTGAAATGATTCACATGCAGTCAAACACCAGTGGTTCCACTCAAAATGAAGCAGAAGGTGAAAATACATTGACACAAATGAACTTTTTTTTTTTTTTTTTTTTGTGTATCTATGGGTACTTGTAATTTAAGACAAGTCACTAAAATAATAATTAAAAGAATTACTTTTCAGAATTCCAGAATGTTTAAATGCAGAATGCTCCACTCTTTTACCAATGAATTTGCATGTCGTCTTTCATGATAAGGATTATAAAGGTTAAGAATTAATCAATTTCCAGCCAATAAAATATTTTAGAGCTTGGCATTATTAAAAAAATAAATAAATAAAATGGGCTTCCTCGTGTGTATATATGCAGGTTTTCCAAGACTGTGGGAATCTTGGTTTTTCAAAGGGGGAAAAAAATAAGTTGAGGTAAATAAAAAAAATCTTGTTTTTTAGTTTTTGGTTCTTTTTAATGCTTTTTGTTCTTATTTTAAATTAAGTTATCTTGGGCCCCCTACACAGCAAAATCCCCAGAGTTAAATCAACTCTGCTCAGAGTACATTGTCCCAATCTACAGAGTGTTAAAGTAACACTGAAGCCGAGTTAAAGTTAATGGGTTAATTAAGCAATTAATTCATTGAGCGAGCATTAGTAAAGAAAACCCGCTGTTAACAATGTTGAAGATGAACAACTACTGCTCAGGCTTTTAGACATGAAAACATATCACATAATCTTCAACAGTGGTAACTCTGCTTCAGTGTTACTTTAATACTCTGTAGATTGGGACAATATGTACTCTTAGCAGAGTTGATTTAACTCTGGGGATTTTGCTGTGTAGTGGGCTCCGGTCCCCTGGTAGAGAACCACAGTCCTAGGCTATTGTGGGTGGTTGCCAGAGAGTTGCTAATCAGTTGCTAATGTTTTCTGAGTGATTAATGTCTGTTGCATCAATGGTAAGGTGAGCTATATGTATATGACAAAGTTTACTACTTCAGGTCAGGGGTCTAGAACAAATGGCAATAAAAACATTCATGTTTGACTTAGCAATTAGCTTTTTAACACAGAGCAAAACCATGGCATAATTTGACAGTTATATGATGCAACTGTATCCACCTGCTAACTACATCACATAAACGCACATTAGAGCCTCATTTAGCTGGTGTTTCGGTTCTGGCTGGGTCTGGTTTATGAACACCTTTACTGATTTTTATAGCTCTTTTACTGTGCTCTGTTCTCCAGCATATCCATCGAGGGGGTTGCTCTGAGCTGACCTAATTGCTTTCCAAGAACGCGATGTGAAACGCAAACCCATAAAACTCTCTGTAAAATGTTTTTATGTATCACTGAACCAAACACAGGTCGGAGTTTTCTGCATGCAAGAATCACTTTTAAATAACATAAATATATCAGACATACTAGCTAAAACAATGCATTTGTCCTGTGTATTTTATCTACAGAGAAAATGAGCTAAAGTCAATACGATTTAAAGAAGGAATTGGAAATGAGGAATTGTGCTGTTGATGTTATTGGAGGTACAGGACTCCTATCAGATTGTTTTAATTGCATAAAAAAAAAAAAAAAAAAACTGACACATGCCGTTCAAATCAGAGCAGTGATGCTGTACCCATTCACAAAAAGCAGTATTTTTTTTCCAGACCTTTCTAACTATACATAAATGGTTCAAGTGATGCAGGAGTTTAGTCGGTGTACAAAGAAACCAGTAAACTAGAGTAAGTGAACAGCGAGATGGGACACAGATGTTCGTATCAAGGCTACTGCAGCTGCTGAACAGCGTTTGCTAGAATAAATAGTAAAACATCAGCAAAGTTTGCTATATGATTAAAACTTGGAAATACTTTAAAATAAGCTTCAGTTTGTGAGTGATGTACAGTCAGGTGGGTGTCGTGGCAAAATTACACAGTTATTCACCAAAGAAATAAGTGCACATGACACGGCAGTAATATTACGTTCTCTGAGGTAATTTTCACTACGATAGAAAACTGACACGCAAAATGGCACCATTTGCGTTTCTGTGAAAAAAGAAAGTGTAAGTCTGTAGTGTGGTACATAGCGCTAGTTTTAGTTGCAGCGTTGCCATGGACGACAGAATGCTGCGATTTGACCAATCAGAGTTGTGTATTCCAAAGAGCCACGTAATAACATGAACTAACATTGAACAATTTTTACAGCATTTATAAGTTTAGGTTAATGTTAATTTATAAATATACTATTGTTCACTGATAATTCACATTCATAATAAATTAATGTTATTTTATACAATGTTAAAAAAAAAAGCAAATAATAAAAAATAAAAAACAAGATTGATAAATGCTATAAAATTCATTATTTCATGTTAGCTGATGCATTAACTAATAAATCTGACTTTACTGTAAAGTGTTACCAAAACTTTACATTGCAAAAAATGAAAAGAAAACGAACCCTGTACAAAGTTCTGAAGCTCATGATGGCGATGTGATGATTAAGAACAGTCCGTTCTGTTGAAGTCTCAACGGTCGTCAACCTATGATTCAGTTACCAGAAAATAGTCTAATTAGTCCAAACTTTTATTTCTTTACAGTTTAATGTACTGGCAAGCAGAGTTTTGTTGAACGCTGCCGTAGTTCTCAGTTGAGGAAAAGTCTCTGACTGAGCATTATGCCCAGTTGTATCACAGCCAGACGTATCTTAAATGAATGTATGTTTTTTGGCACCTGTTATAGCAGGGTCAGCGCTCCAATCTACTAGTTCCATCCTGTCTACCCTCATTTGTTCCAGTAAAAAGGTTTTGCAGCTGCTGAGCTCTTAAGACATCAGCCATGGTCTACTGTGAGATGATGAGGGCCGGCTGCCATGGTCACAGGAACTTTTGGAAAGGACTCTCAAGAATGTCCTAATTAACAGGGAGAGATCTTGGATTGTTAGACACACAACCTATAATATTTTACATCACCACAAACAAAAACAAGTATGTTTGTGTGTGTATGAGAGCATCTAAAAATCACGTCCACTTTCCTTTGGAAGTCCATATTGCTTCATGTGGCTCTGTATTTTACTCTTGTGAGTGGAGGTCCCGTGGAGAGCGGATTCGGGATTCTCCTGTGCTCTTTTGGACTCGTGCTCTCCGTGCAGAGTCCTGCACTTGCCGATATTTGTTCATCATGCTTTTGTGTTTGCGTCTCAGCTTCTCATTACACCAAACACGTTCACAGTACTGCTCCACCTGCGGCAGGTTCGAAGGACCAATCAGCTGTAAGATGTCCTTGAACCACGTCCTGGCTGGGCCACGATTGGTAGAGGCTGTGTTGGCAGGGCACGGTGACCATACTTTATATTTGCTGTCACGTGACAGGAGGTCCGAAAGGGTGTCGGTGTGTAAGACGTCCAACCAGAAGCGTGAGAGGGTTTGTGTGAATCCGTGTTCCTGAGATTGACACACATAGATGCCTTCGTCCTGACGGAGCACACGGCGGAACAACAAACCATCATCTGTCTTAGTGATATGTTCATCTGGTACCACCTAAACAGAGGACATTTGAAAAAAATAGGTCTCTTTCTCAAATAAAACACAATTAAAATAATAAATTTCATAATCAAACAAAATGGGATATTCCAACAAAGATTGCAAACTTTTCTTTTCTTTGCAGTGACTTTACACCAACTGCGCCCAAGATTATTTTCTGAAAGTGTCTTAGAGAACTATGGACATGTTCCAAGTTTTCCAGCCAGAATGTATCCATGTTTTAAACAGCATATATATATATATATATATTTTTTTTTTTTTTTTTTTATCCAGTGTGCTACGGAAGGCACGACCAGGTTGGGCCGTGATCTTACTAGGGCACACTCCTGGTCTTGGGTAAGGGACTCGTCCTTCATAAGGTCCCCACTGATAGTCCGGCCCTTCTTTATGAGCAAATGGCCCATTAAATGCTTCACGGATATCAGCCATACTATACACACACACTGCATAGCCCTGAAACACATTACTAGAGAGAGAAAATATTCTGTGAAACTCACATACCCCTTATTCATGAAACAGTTCACCCAAAAATTTAAATTTGCTGAAAATGTACTCGTCCTCAGGCCATCCAAGATGTAGATCAGTTTGTTTCATTATCGGAACAGATCTGGAGAAATGTAGTATTATATCACTTGCTCACCAATGGATCATCTGCAGTGAATGGATGCCGTCAGAATGAGAGTTTAAACAGCTGATAAAAGCATCCCATTAATCTGACGAAGAAACCCATCTACATCTTGGATAGCCTGAGGGTGAGTACATTTTCAGCAAATTTTAATTTTTGGGTGAACTTCTTTTAAAGGAATATGGAATGCAAGTTTAATTATACATTTCATACACAATGGCAATTTAAAGTGCTTTACAATAGCATAATTAAGGAAGAAAATAAAATTCAAAATTTTAACATAAAAACTAAGAAAAAAAGGCATAAAAATACATGACAAAAAAAATTACGTTTAATCTAAAATGGATTAAAACAAAAGAAAAAGTATATATATACACAAAGACAAACTGAATGAAATAATAGTGCAATCGATATGAGTTGAAGCAAGCACAGTGCTTTACAGAGGAAATGCACAGATAAACAGATGTGCTTTCAGTCGGATTTGAGACAGACCTGATGGTGCTGAATATTGCGTAGATCTCTGGATTGGTTTCGTCTTTGGTCCTTAACAGAAACACATCCTCTGCATGACAAACACATACAGTCAAAGATCACACAAGGGGCGTTTAGAGATCAAAATGATCTCAAGTTTATATAACATTGTGCATAAAAAGGCATGTGTGTGTGTGTGTGTTTACTGTCTCACCCAGCTGGTGAAAGTGTGTTTGGATGCCGTGAGGTCCAGGAACCGAACACACCAGTCGGGCTTTAATAAATGTGCTCCACTTATTCACCAGAACCCTCTGCCCACCCACATCATTCTGAAACCACATAAACAATAAATCATGAAGCGTTGAATTACTTCTGGACAACAGATCGGCAAAAAGTCAAATCCCAGTATCATTTAACCCCAGACCACACACAATGAACTCTGGGTAAAACAAACTATCCCTGCGTCTCAATTTGTATACTATCCGTCCTAAGTAGTATGCAATATTATTTAGAATTAGTGCAATCCAAATCATAGTGCATTGAAACTAGTATACAAAAAGTGCCACAGTACATCCAGATATGCTTTTGAGCAAATATTTCCCACAATCCCTAGTACAACGGAGTTTGTGACAGTTCTCATTTGACTTTTTCATCTGAAGTGGTTTAATTAAGGGGGTCACACACCCCAAACCCCTGTAATCTGAACCCTGTTTATACATAAACATTCAGTTGTAACTGTTCCCATGGGAACAAGAATGGTTCAATATCACAAAATATCTCAGGGCAGCGGCAGTTATGGCGATTATGGCACCATAAGGGAAATTCTGTAACAGATTCCCAAAAAGCAATGCAGCTGGGTTTACCGTGTCGAAGACACATGGGTGGCGTAAAGGATCCTAAATCTGTGTAATCAGTATATGTGGAGATAATCACCTTCTCTGCAGTGTAAGAGAGTGTGTGTGTGATTTGGGAATGTGCTGAAGTTGAACAATGAATAGAAGTCAAAGTGACAGTAATGTGCGATTGACCCTGGCTCTTTGAACACTGACCTCTGAATGACAGTGGGAGATTTGTACTGCTCCCCTTACCCTACAGAGCCTTGTGTATTAGTGTGTATGTGTGTGTATGGGAACTAGGCTAACTGGTGAGTGTGTGTGTGATTCAGAGGCATGCAAACCATCCAGCAGCTGTGCACATTTGGTTGAAAAAGGGCTGAAGCATTCCAGTATACTGACCTACTTGTGCATGGATGTACTGTATGTATGTGGTATTTGTTGTAGTTTGGCTCACCACACACAATCGTCCAATGCGTGTGTGTATGGCTCCTTCATCGCCTCGCTCTGCAGTCTCTGTTGCTCTTTCAGTGAAGAAGAAATACATTTTATCGTCATCTCTGTCTGCACTGTCAGGAATGAGGTGGGCCGCAATAAACCTGGGCTCTGTACATGCACAAACACACACAAACACACACTATTATAATGCACATCTGATTGTTGGAAGCATGTAGTCTATCAATTTAGTTTGACTAATGATTTTGAGAAATTACTAATTGGGTGTTCCATCAATAATGAGCATAGGATTTAAAATATGGAAATACATTATAAAACATTATAAATTATATTTTAATTATAAATAAAGAGTAAATAACTATTGCAACATTTATTGTGTGAAAATGACAAAAATTTTACACAAATTATAAATAATACTAAAATTGCTAATTTCACCAATGTTTTTTAGTATTATTTATATATTAATATCTTGTATCACATTTTATTTTTATTTTAGCTTTTATTTTCATTTTAGTCCAAGTTATAGTTATTTTGTTATGTGCTTTTGCCATTTTCATTTTTTTATATTTCTAATATCTAAAAAAAAAAAAGTATTATTATTATCTAACATCTAATATTTTTTAGCTTTAATTTAACTTTAACTTTTATATTTCAGTTTTTATTTCAGTTAGTTGCAGAGGTAACATTTCTAATTTTCGTTTAAGTTTTTTATGTTTAGGTTTTTAATTTCAATTAACACATTTTTTTTTTTAAGTTTTAGTTTTAGTTAACTATAATAACACTGATTTCAACTACAGTTTTTCTATGAATAAAATTTATTAATGTCACCAACCTTTCCACTATAAAATGTTATAAAACACATAAGAAATAAGACTGAAAATGTTTATTAATATCAAAATTAAGTCACTTTGTACCGTGTAGGATTCTCTGATCCGTCTCTGTTCTCATTGGCGAGCGAGTCCCTAAACCTCTCAAAATCACAGAGTCTCTCCCCAAAAAATCTGCAGTCAGACCGGAGTACAGCTCTCCACCTGAGAGAGAGACAGAGAGCATTGGAGGTCAGTGCAGAGAACTCAATCTCTTACATGAGAGGAAGGAAAAGTAAACAATTTTATGCAAGGAGCCCCATTGTAAAATTTGTAATTAAATCATGTTATCAGCTTGAAAACACACTTATACACACCTACTGTATAAATCAGGAGAGACCCGATATAGTGTCAAAAGTTTTTCAAAGTCACACACACTTCATCATCTAAAATGAGATCATACCATTTTACTGTTTTTTAATTATAATTAAACCGTTTATAATTTAAAAAACTTTAAAAACCTACTTGAACACATGTTGCCTCTGTTGCCCATCAATTATCTGACAGAAACTCATGTGTACAGTGTGTCAGTGTGAAAGTATCTCCGAGTTCACTAACATGCAATCTTCAAAATCTGTCCCGAAAAGTATTGCATCTGGCAAAATGTCCAGCGAGGGGAGCCAAGATTGTGCAGTGTTGTAAAGACACACTGGGTGATGTGTCTGTGCCCCAGAAGACTGTAACACACCCATGAGCATACATACAGAAGACCCCCACGACACTAAACCTGGACTGAAGAACACCTCAAATTTCTCCCATCAGAGCAGTCAATCTACAACAGGCCATAATCTCAGTGACAACTGACAAGCAGAAATCTCCATTCAACACACACGAGAGCCAAAACACACACACACACACACACACACACACAAACGTGCTCTGACATACTTATAAACACACAACACAAGCATGCAGTGGCATGAACATTGATGCTGAAACTTAACACACTGAAATGTACCTGTGAAGGTGCTTGCAAAGGGTAGTTTGGGGTCACGGGGACATTTCCCCCTCCCATTCTGTACCGTGGTGCGATCCAAACTGAACAAATGCTGCCAACAAGAAGTCAGAAAATTCACACCAGTTTAACAACTCAAAAATAAACTTGAGCTCACAAATGTCTGAATTTCTTTTGCTTGTGAAGAAATTTATTATTTATTTTTACAATACTGGGATATACTATTAATCATGTTCAGTTTGAGGTATTAGAGACCCCAAGGCCCACTAAATATTTCTAAAGATACATTTATTATTGTAGCTCAGTTTAATACTTCCTGACTTTTCCTCACCTTATGAGAACTGATTATAAACAAAACTAATAGCTTAAAAAATGTCACAATTCATTAGTTTGGGATCTTAGAGACCACATAATAATATTGCTGCATAATATTTTTGTGAAAACCATCATACTTTTTCAGGATTATTTGATGAATAGAAAGTAAAAAAAAAACAGCATTTACTTGAAAAATAATTTATTGTAACAATAAGTCTTTGCTGTCAATTCAGATCAAATTAAAGTATTGATTGCTTACTGACCCCAAACTTTTGATTTGGTAGTTTCAACCAATTTATTGCGATTTGCTCGTAATTTGCGTCAAGCTGACCCCAAAGATAAATAATAGTGTTGGGGTTTAACTAAATGGGGTTAAACTAACTAAATTTAGCAACACTACTAACTTTTACTTGCTACAATTATCAGTAGCATCAATGTACTTCAACTGTTTTCATAATAGCGTAGCTCTTTAAGTAATGAACTGCTTTTCCCAACAAGTACCAGAGTAGCATTACACAACACTACATCATTGTTTTTCTTGTCACGGTCTATTATACACATAGCTTTACAGCCAGAAGAGCTGAGGCAATGACTGTGCTCTCATACACGATCCCTTTTCTCTTATACTGTATGCAGCACTGGGAAATTCAAAACATTTTAGTGAAATTGTTTGTTTGGGTTTACATTTAACCAATTCAAATAAATGATCCACTGATTCCTTTAGTTAACTAGTGTTATTGGTTGTATTTATCATCAACGTCAGATCAGTACAAAATGATTATACAATCAAAGGGACATAAAATTGTTCTTCTGTTGAATATAGCTTAAAATATTTGGAATGTTGGTAATAAAACAGTTGCTGGTAGCCATTGACTAACATAGTTTTTTCTTTTCTTTTCTTTTCTTTTCTTTTCTTTTCTTTTATATTCAACAGAAGAAAGAAACTCATAAAAGTTTGGAACAACATAAGGGTGAGTAACTGATGAAAAAAAAAATCATTTTTGGGTGAACTATCCCTTTACATAGTATCGTCTGACTTTGAGTTTCAAGGCTGTACCATATCAGAAATCTAAAATGTAATTATAGTAGTTCAGTTTTTACTGTCATTGATGTCAGACACTGTATGGGTGTGTCCAGTGGTGCCAAAGAGAGATTAAACCTCTGGTGCCAGTTCAGTTTCACAATGTAGTATTGTCTATTTGTCAGACATCTGTGGCGCCCTGGGTGGTGACACACCAGTTAAAACACCTCAAAGGAAGTAAAGAACAGCTCTCCAATGCCAGAATAGACATTCTATTCAGAATAGACACACATTATTTCTCTTTTTCTATCCTCTGCTCTATGTTTGTGTGCTTTTGCTTTGTATCTCCTCTCATGATCTAGTCTTGACCTTAAGGGCCGGCCTGTTGGTGGGTGACCTCTGACCTTAAACAATTAGGTCTCTGATATACATAAGTAAATTAGATCCTCCTGATGTGCATACACAAACACACTAGGTGTGAAGTAGTGGGAGGGAGTGTTTGTGTGTGTTACCTCTCCGCGCTGTCCAACATTCACATATGCACACACAGGTTGGAAAGCTCCAGTTCCACAGGCCAGTAGATGAGTGCGGTTAAATGGCTGCAACAACCGCACAAAGTTTGCACACTCTGTCTGCACCAAACATACATAGAAAGAGTTCATATTAAAGTGTTGGGTGTTTTGTTGGCAAATGAGGGTACAATCTTGATCATTACAGCACAATTACTTACACAAACATACAAATACATGTATTTTACATTGGACAGCGAGGTTAAACTCATCAAATGCAGTTCATGATCATGAGTAATTTTGGCATGTGTGAGTGTGACCAATATTTCTCTGGAGTGTCTGAATGGAGAGTTACAGGAATCATCAACATTTTAATGGATCAGAGAAAAAGAGCAAGAAAATGATCCCCACTGATTTCCCAGCTTTTAACATGGGAAAGAAGCTCTTATGGTCCATTTACTGAAAGGTTCAGAAAGAGGAAGACGTCTTACACACACACTATCAACATGTACACACTCTAACTATGGCCACCTGTATGCAGCTTCATTGACTGTGTAGGGTCAAAATCAGTGGAGCATAAATGAGCAAAAGGTCAAGGGTCATAAAAGATGCAGGCAGATGCTCAAACTGCTGCCAGATGTTAACCAGCAGGACTGAGAGAGTGAGAGAGATCCAAAGCAGCAATGTACCAGTCTTGGCCGAGATACAACTATTTGAATATCTGGAATCTGAGGGTGCAAAAAAAATAATAATAATATTGAAAAAACCGCCTTTAAAGTTGTCCAAATGAAGTTCTTAGCAATGCATATTACTAATCAAAAAGTAAGTTTTGATATATTTATCAAAAAAATTTACACAATATCTTCATGGAACATGATTTTTACTTAATGTCCTAATGATTTTTGGCATAAAAGAAAAATCAATAATTTTGACCCATACAATGTATTTTTGGCTATTGATACAAATATATCCCAGCGACTTAAGACTGGTTTTGTGGTCCAGGGTCACAAATGATAAAATATATTATGCTGTTTGTCAGTCTCAGGAGGTCAAACTTTTAAGCTGTTTAATTTTCCAATCATTTTCTATGAGTTGTGGAATTTTTGCTGACATGCAATCAAAATTTGGGACAAACCTTATTTGTGATAAAACCCTGATTTGTGTAGTTTTATTTTAGTAATAAATATTCTATTAAATGTACATATTCAAATAAATTAAATTGTGAAAAATAAATTAATTAATAGTTTTGGTCATTAAAATTAAATTACTTAAAATTAATTAAAATAGCTGTATTTATAAATAACTTAATACCACTTTTGAGGTCTGATGTATTTAAAACGATATATTTTCATGCTAGGTTTTGTTTAGTAGTTTATCTAAAGTTTTGATTGGTTGTCATAAAAAAGGGATTTGTGCCTCTAAATCTAAAATAAATAAATAAATAAATACACTAAAATTGCCAAAACTTTATTTTCATAGTCCACTTTAGATATTCTACAAACAAAAGTGTAACCCTAAAATGTCCCCTATTCATGGAAAGTGTCACCAGTCATTTTTGTGTGAGCTGTTATGTGGTACATAAAACTCTTCTGAGTTCATATCTGTGTGTTGTTTCAGTGTTACCCAAGCTAAAATTTAAATGAAAAACAAATATCCTGTTCAACTCCCTAACACATACTCACACACTGAACAGAGTCATTAAAACATCGCTGTGAAATCGCACTCACCTGTCACATCAAACAATACTGCCGGGACAGTCACCAGAGCGTGTAACCATGGCGACACCACACATTTCCAATTTACGAGCAAAACATGCTAAACACTAACAGATGCAGAGTGTATCTCCGTACTAGTGTGTGTGTGTGTGTGTGTGTGTGTGTGCAAGACCCTCCACCATTAGGGACAGAGGACAGGAAAGATTTAAAGGGGTCATATGATGCTGCTAAAAAGAACATTATTTTGGGTATTTGGTGTAATGAAATGTGTTTATGCGGATTAAGGTTAAAAAAACACATTATTTTCCACATACTGTACATTATTGTTTCTCCTCTATGCCCCGCCTTTCTGAAACGCGTCGATTTTTACAAAGCTCATCGGTTTGAAAAAGCGAGGTGTGGTGTGATTGGCCAGTTATCCAGAGCGTTGTGATTAGCCGAATACCTCAAGTGTGTGACGGAAATGTTACACCCCTACCACATTGTGATGATACCCTGTCAGGCCGGAGCGATGATTCAAAAACAAGAAAACCCATTATAAACGAGGCATTCGTTGCATCCAGTGGGGACATAATTATGGATTATAATGACTTATACTGTCTTTTTACGC